CGCCTAAGAATAGGTTAACTCTAAATTCAAAAGCAAAAGAGAAGGGAAACCATTGCATTATTTTTTCCAAGAAGTTGTGGGCATTCACAGATAATGAAGAAAAAGAATTTATGGAGAGCCATAACCGGCTATATGTTAAAGAGATATAGCATAGATAGAAAAGAAAAACAAATGACAGAAAAATTGTTTTTTTTTAAGTAATAATAATAACATTAAATTTTATTTCTTTCTTGCAAATAATAGATGGAATCGTTTGATTGAAATCAGAATATGATGCAAATTAACGAAAAAATGTCAGCTCCTTTTAATGGAACATATGAAGAGTTTATAAACACATTTGATATAGTTTAGTGATGTCAACGAATACTCGTTGTCACTTTCGTAATGCTCGTTGTAGTAGAGACTTTGTGATCGCAGATACAACTATATTAACGCCGTTGAACAATACTGGTGTCAGACCAGTGGCGTAGCTAAAGGGGGGCGGACCGCCCCGAGTGCCAGCACAGGAGGAGTGACTCAATGTCACCCCCAACAAAATGTTTCAACCAGGCTAAGGTGCCAAATATAGTCTGAAAACAGTGGTGGAGACACAGGGTTTCATAGGCGGGCATATGCCCCCCGCCCCGAAATAATTTATGACCCCACCCCAGTTTTGTCCTTCCGTCAGAAATGTTCTAATAAATTGTCGGGAAATTTGTGAGTAGGAAAAATAGCAACGTTTTTAGCTTTCATGTGTTTCAGTTGCTACAATCTTGGTTACTAACAAGAGACATTGTTGTAACATTTTATCGGATGATATGGTGTTTTAACTCTGCATCATTAATAACAACAAAGCGAAATAGAAGCCAAAAGTGCAACAATTTCAGTCTTGCCTGTGTATCAATTCGCTGAGATACAATTTTCCATTGCGTGAGCGATATACTTTTGAATATATCTACTAGTGTTGGGACGATTAATAGGAATCGGAATCGAGAATCGGAAAAATCGGAACTTTTTTGGGTATCGGAATCGGAAAAATGTATCTCTATTTTCCGATTCCAAAAACGATTCTTTTAAATTTTTAACTTAATTTTCCATTATTGGTACTAATAATGAATATTTATTGTTTTTAAATTATCACTAAAACTAAAATATAATAACATCAAAATACGATGTAAATTTATTTTACTTGTATAAAGAAAAACAAAAAAATAAACTTTGCATAAATTCTCTAGGTAACCTTTAAAAGAATGTAGTTGATTTACAATGTCCCGAAAAATGCTTAGAAATTAAATAGAACATTTTTGTCAAGAAAAATACTTTCAAACCTCATTGATAATTAAATGGTACCCAGAAAATGATGCAACGGAAAATTGGACACCGGAAAATTAGCAACAGAAAATTACGTCAACCATTAGCCAGTCAAGACTGTCGGATCTGGCTGTGCTGTCCATTGAAAACAAGCTTACAAGGCAAACAGATTTTGACGATATCATTGACTAGTTTGCCACAATGAAAACAAGAAAACATTCATTCTAAGACCATAGTATCGAATGTCATTTTTTGTGTATTGCCGTGTTTTGTATTTAGTTGTTCTGAAAGTGAACAGTTGCATTTTAAAAATCTTTTGATTTGAACTGATTATTTTGTGGTATTGGATTTTGTCTTGGATCATACGTGTAAACAGTAACGTGCCGGTCAGTAGAGTAAAGTAGAGGTAGAGCATGTATGAAAATTTAGCTACAGCTAACCATTCAGCATAGGGTGAATCGGGGTCATTGGGGTGACATTTGAGCGGACCGCCCCGGGTGACGTTTATTCTAGCTACGCCACTATGTCAGACGCCTTTGAATATCACTCGCACTAATAGTACTTGCTCGATAATACTAGCTCGTAAAGTAACCACCGAACAGTAATCGACGATAGACTAGAAATACAGATCCGAATAGTAACAGAGGATAGAATAGCAATAACGATCAATTGGACGTCACGCCATTTCCTACTTATGCGTTTCCTCTATGGTCACGTGGTCTACTTAATTCATTAATGGGATCGCCTGTGTTTGCTCACTGGCGATCTATGTTCAAACTCAAGTGTCGGCAGCGACAATTTATTCCTATATAACATATAGTCCGGTGAAGCTTTCAACAGTAGCGACAACTGAAACCGAAGAGAAAACCTAGACATAATGAAGATGTTAACTTTCCACACTACTTCAACTAAAAGGTTAGGAAGGAAACCCCCATTATGATTGGAGAGAGTGATAACAGCGACTGGACCTGGGGAAACTATTTTCCTGAAAAAAATGTTTTAAGAGAAACAAATTTCATCAACCGAAAACAGTACTGGCTGCTCGGTCAATGAATGCCGAATGTTTTCTTATAGAGAAACGGTTAATATTACCCTTACCATTATTATTATATTGGTGTCTCACATTGGCGTCTACCTGCAAGTCTACAGTGAATGCCGAATGTTTCCTTTTAAGGAAACGGCTAATGTTGCCATTATAATTACCCATTATACTAATTTTTATACCTATCTCGTGAAGTAACATTTTATTCAGAGTTACCTCCCTTATACCAACGTTTGATACTGAGTCGATAGAATGATTTGTTTTCTGTTTTTTCCCCTTTTTTGTATTTTAAGTAATAAACTAGGTACCTCCCCTTTACGCGGAAAAACAACATAGCATCGTCGAAAAGAAAAACACATTAATTTTGAAATTATCGCAAAAATCAATTAATTGTCTGATTTTTAGGACTTATTTACAAATGATTGACTTTATTTTTAAAAATATTATTTTTAGAAAATCTTGCTAAAAATATTTTTTACATCTGTTAACCCCCACCCTAATTAATTTCATAAAATTTTGTAGAATTTAAAAGTGCCACTGAATGGTTTTATATTAATTAAAAGCAGGACATTTTGGAGAATGTAAATCATCAATTTTTTTCCGAACTTACTACCAACTTTTTTAAAATCTGCCCCGAACCGTAAAATAAAAACTGCAACAAAACTATCTAATTAGATAAGCTTTTAATTGCTTCTATAAATAATATATATTAAGGACATTAGTCTAAAGAAGAAAAAATTCGATGAATAAAAATTTTTTACAAGAATTGTTTGCATTCTTCTTTTTTTAATTATAATGTTTCAAAAATGTTTTAAAATTCTTCTAAACACCGGTACAGTTAGATTATTAAATTATTAAGTGAAAACTATATTTACTAAGCGAAAATTGAAAAGCTTAATGCAAATCATCTTACCAAAATTTTTTACAATAATTAAAATGATTTTTTGTGTGTTTAAATATTCTTTTTTTAAGTATGGTGTTTGAAAAGTGACATTATGGTCAAAAGATCACGTATTTCAAGGGTTGTCCTCCTTAGAGAAAGTCCCTTCACGTAAATTTTTTTTCGGCTGTGGGCAATTCTTTCATTTTACTACCGTATTTCAGCTTCGGAAATCATCTCGAAATTATTAAGTTACCTCTATCATAGTATTTCATCTGTTATAAAATTTTAAAATTAATTTAAGAAAATTTTATAGTATTTTAAATTTTTTTTTATATTTCTTCATAAAGCATGTTCGAAAGGTAAATAATAGTCAATAAATTATTAGATAACTGCTGAAAATATGTTCATTTGTAAAAATTACTAGGTAGTTAAAAAGCCCCAAAAATGCGTTCACTTAGATTTCGCAAATTTAATTCTGGTCATCCATATTAGCTATCATCACCCCGGAACTTATCGATACGTCAATAAAGAAAGAAAACAGGACCTGCCGTTAAGAAATACTTGTATATTACTATTTTATGATATAAGCAAGTAATGTTTATTTCAAATCAAATTAATTTAATTTTAAATTTGGTAATTTTACTCAAATAATGACTCACAAATATATATTTTATTTTTGGAAGATTTTTAAAACTGATAATTTTGTTTTGTTTATAAATTTTTTAAAATTAAGAAAATGGCTGCTTTTAAGAAAATTTTCTTAAATCTGCGAAAAAGTTGAGATTCCGATCTATATATTTTTTAATTGAAATACGCCAGGATATTTTACTAACTGGAAATAGTAAATTTAATCATTTAGCTTTAAATTAAAGCTAAAATGAAATCTTCAAGAACGCTTTTTCATTTTTAAAATTTATTTTAAACTTTAGGTATCGAAAATTTATACCGAATTAGTGGAGGTACCTGCCATAAACTATTGTCAACAAGGTTTTTATTTGAAAATGTTTCGGTTTAATTTTTAATATTCCGGATTCCGTCCGTTCAAATATCAAATTTAATATACTGAAAGTTTGTACTTTTTATATATCATCGATGATCAATGTGATAAAATATCGCTTGTCATCGAATCATTAATTCATTCTTGTACGTTTTTATTTTCCAATAGATTGCCATGGTCGGATGTGTCTCAATTATGGGACCATGGACAGTAATACGTGCAACTGTAAATGTTATCCGAACTTTCATGGGAATCTTTGTGAACATAGTAAGTATCTCTTTCAAAAAGAAACATAAAATTAATTCATTCACGCGCGGGCGCGCACACGCAAACGTACACACATACACACACTAACGTATTTTACTCAAAGACAAATGTGTGTGCTTCATTAAAATGGCAACTTTAAAAAAAAATATGTTTCTTTTTACAGTAAGGTTCACCCTGTACAAGGCCCGAGGGTCACTCGATGTAGAGGGTTACGTTAAGAGGTAGTTTATATGAATCGGAGGTAAGATAACGGTTAAATCTGGACGAACAGGTTAAGTTTGTAGTGATCCGGAAAAATCCTCATACTAATCTGTTCCACAGAACTGTGGTTCGTGGGAAGAAGCTGTTTGAGTGGAATTTACTTCTCGCCGAAAGTAATATGGATGGAATGTGGGTGATTTGCTCCTATGTAAGTGGCATGGTGGGGTCCTAACCGTGAAGGTTATACCAAGGAATGTAGTTTGACGGAGGACATTCCATAGAAGTAGCGAAAGAGCAGTGAGAGGCTCGCCACATCCCGCCTATGAGAGAGAGAGAGAGAGAGAGAGAGAGAGAGAGAGAGAGAGAGAGAGAGAGAGTTGTTGAGGGTGGAAAATAATTCTTCTCCAACAAGGACTCAGAGACCTTTTGAACTCTATGAAGACAGGAAAGTGAGGGCTAAGCAGCTCCCACCCAAATATGGCGACAATACTCCATATTCGGCCTTATCTGCCTCTTATAAAGGTAAAGGATAGCATGAGTCAGCGGTACAGGGAGCTGATCATTTTACCTGCATCTTTAGCGATGGATTGTATATAGGAGTTCCACTCAATGCACAGTGCCTCCTCGAGGGGACATCTGTTCATTGTGACTGGTGGTGGCTTGGGGTCTGATCGGCGGTGATGAAATGTAACTAGTTTGGTTTTTGAGGCATTGAATGTAACCATCCAGTATTTTTTTCTCACTGGGAAATTAGTTCTAGTTCGGAAGAGAGGTCAGATGTCAATCTCTGATTGTCAAGAGTTTTAGAGGTGCGCCTGTATATCGTCGTATCATCGGTATAGATATTTACAAATGACCTGAGTATATTCTTAGGCAGATCATTTATGTAAATCAGAAAGAGATTTGGTCTGAGAAGTGATACATTCGAGACGAGTGCGTTGACCCCCAGGGCCTCGGAGGACTGGCCATTAATAATTACCTTCAGGGATTTACCTATTAGGAAGGATTTTAACATTGAGAAAATCCTTCCAGTGATTCCATAGCTGGAGAGATTGTGTAGCAAACCATTGTGTCGAGATATCTATTGCTATGTTCTTCGAGGTGTGTGTGTCGCCAAGAGCTTGACTAAATCGGTTTGTAATGGTAGTTAGGGCGTCAGCAATGGATCGGGCTGATCGGAATCCACACTGCTCGTTGCACAAGAGGTTGTTCCTATCCAGGTGTTCGACGACCTTCTTATTGATTAAAGACTCAAACAGCTTACTGATTGAGGAGTGATGGTTTTATACTGGGAAGGGGAACGATCAATTTCCTGCGTTCTTGGAGATCGTGCATACGCTTCCGCACGCTTGGAGTTAACATTTTTTTTAGTATTTTTGCTTGATAATTTTAGTTAGCAAGCATTGGTCGTGTGCAGCAAGAATAAAACCTTCGGTTACAGTTTTTAATTCTACATTGCGCAACCACTGATGGCTATCGGGTAGAAGGACTTCAATGGAACGTATGTCGCTCGTTGGCGTAGCGTCCTTCTCCGTATGGTCAGAGACTGTCTCTCGAACCTACGTGTTGGAAACCTATCGGCGCTTCAAAATTTTTGCGGCCCTTAGTTGATTTTCCGCCGTTTTGGACTCATATCCAAACCCCAGCCAAAGTCAATCCATCACTGTCAGAATACATACCCACAAGATATTCTGACTAATCGCTGACCATACTGGCTCTAATCTTCGCATCCAGTAACATGGGTATCCAGAAACAATTGACCATCTTGTATCAGGTTGCACGGTATTAACACCCACTGAATATAAAACTCAGCATGACAAGTTGCACCGGAAAATTTGAAACTTTTATGGGAAAGCAAGAAATTGGTATGAACACTACTGAGATAGGACCTGTAACAATTTTATGTGACAGAGCAATCAAAGCTAATCACCCAGACATAGTGAACACAAAAGCAGAATGTGCTTTCTTATTGACATGGCAGTTCGTGCGGACTTTGAAGATCTTTTTAAAAAAAAAAAACCCACTAAAGTACAAGGATCTTGAAGCGGGAAACTCTAAAAAATGGGGCACATGAAAACATCAATAAATCCAATTGTGGTTGTGGGTTTGTTTGGAAAAGGTTCTGATAGACTAAATGAAGGGATCTCTTCTAGCCCATATCTTAAAGAAATACAATATATTGTTCTCATAAGCACATCTCACACCTGACAAAGGGATTTATGTATGTAAAATATGTGTTTCTAGGTTGTTTTAATTTACTTTTCAAATGTGCAGTGGAAAATGTCATAATGCCATTTCCGATGTGTACAATGGAATTACGTTGCTAATGTTTCTAATATAGAAAGTAATTCTATATGATTTTATTATTAAAATGCATTGAACACCAGGTAGAAAGTCATTGTCTATGGTCAAGAATTTAGGTGATAACATGGCTATTATATGTGCAATAGAAATACTTTGCGAATGTTTTCATTATAGAAAGGCATTTATATGACTTTATTATTAAAATACAACGAACATCGTTTAGAAAGTGATTGTTTGTGCCCAGGAATTAAGGTAAGCGTTATTGATGGAATATGTTTATTATATGTGTGATAATGTTTTCTGAATAAAATAAAATCCATAGATTTTTTTCTCAGTCCAATTTCTTTTTTCTTAAAGAGACCTGTAATGCAACGGATGACCCCAGTTGTGCAGATATACTCCCAGAGTTAAGAAAATACGACTGCAACCATTATGCGAATATTCCAGTGAAATGTCCTTTTATGTGTGGCGTCTGTGCTTGACAACACGCTGGTCATCGCAACGTTGAGGCAGATTGAGTCTTCTTTTTACTTCCCGAAATTCAGCATTCAGCCAGCACAAACCCAGACATAGTCTGAAAGACGACAACTGAATTGTAAACGACTGGTTAATACCTATTAATTAAAATTGGAACGGTTTCTGTTCTTAAGTGATTTACATGGGGAACATTAGATTTAAGACTTGACCATTTGGAAAAGGTTGATGAGATATCTCTCGAGAAAATTCTTTCTTCAGGAAAAAAAAGATTAAATAAATAAATAAAATATTTAGTCCCCCATGTACTTTAAAGATTGAACAGAATTCTTATGCTAAATCCTGTAAAAATAAATGTATGCTGTTCCATACAAAACAATGTAACAATAACATTCATAAAGTTTGCTTTGCACAAATTTAGTTGTGTTTGTTTTATTAAGTCACATATTTACATAGACGTTCTTCTACGGAAGGCCTTGCGTAAAACGTCCCGCTTGTCGTCATTACTGGTAACCACAACTCTTACTTGGGGGTGTCCCATAACTATGACTTTGCGCAGCTCTCAGCGAAGCTAAGTAATTATTTACACAGAACAGAGTCTAAATCAGTGGTTCCCAGACTTTTTTTCTTTGGGCCGCATTTTCGGAATGAAAATTTGCTCGCGCCTCATCAAATTTTATGTGATAAAAGGTACATTTAAAAATAAAAATAATAAAAAAAAATAAAGGGAGAGGGTTAAGTGCGATAACCGCAGATTTGAAGTTATCATTGATAACACTCTCCTCCAATTTGAGGACCCTAGTTACCATATTCTTAATACTTGATATAATGCAAAAATATTACAATGATAAAATCGGTTAATAATTATTTATAACTATTTAGTTGGAGACTCATGCATGCATTTTTTTTAAGCATTACGCCCCGAGCAAGGCGTGAAGCCACTAGGATGCAGGGGGTTGCAGAAGATTTGGAGCGAGAGCAGATAGGAGTGATAGAAGAAAGGATGAGGAGAAGGATAGTGGGTAGATCACGGTAACTGGAGATGTCGATTGACATTACATTTGAATAGTTGGAGATTATAGCTCTCAGGGAAACAGTAATTGGGAAGGGTGTTCCACAGGCGACAGGTGCGAGGTATGAAGCTATTGGAGTAGAAGAGACGGCTACATTTAAAAGTTTCTACAGTGTAAGGGTGGGAGCGGGATGCCAGCCTCGTAGGGCGCTTGAATTTATGGAGTCTGGGAACCAGTGAAAGCAGCTCATCGGAGCAATTACCATGAAAGTATTTGTAGAAAAGACAGAGAGAGGTGACGGCGCGTCTGTGAGAGAGTGACTATAGACGAGACGCCAGATCAGGGCCAATTAGATTACATATCCGTCTCTGGATCTTGTCAAAAACTCCGAGGTAAACAGAAGGTGCCCCAGACCATATATGGCAGCAATACTCCATGCAAGGGCGAATGGTTGATTTGTATATTATATACTTGTATTACAAGTAATCCATAATAATATTTAAAATTTTGAAATCGTATTTATTTTTAGCATATGAATTTTTTTGGAGCTGTTCTTAAATCTTTGATTTCCTATCACCTCCTCCAGCCGCACCTATGAAGCGCGACGCACCGTTTGGGAACCATTGGTGTAGGTCAGTGCTTTTCAACCTTTTTGCTGGAGTGGAACCCCATGGAAACATTTCACTGGCTCGAGGAACCCCTGTGCAATAATTTGGTTGTCTTATGCAAAAAACAGCATTTAATTAATTATACAAAAAAATGCAATTTGTAATAAAATGAAAATATTCATGTTCAGAGTATTGTAAATGAAATGAAAACAAAAGTGTACATGTTTGAATAGATTACATTTATTCTTATGAAAAAAGTCAATGGAAACTTGAGCCTGGTGTTTCTTGCACAACTCTTTAAGATTGGGTCGTGTTTTTGACAGACACACACGAAGTTCATCTTCCACAGACCGCAATTGAGCTCGTTTCTTGTGCTTGATGGTTGTCAGAGCTGAAAATCCAAATTCACACAAATAGGAGGTTGAAAATTGCACAAGAAGTCGTAGCGCTTTCTGGGCAATTGCAGGATATTCCTTTTCAACCAGCAACCAAAATGCATTCAGGTTAAGTTCAGAATGCTTCAGCTTTAATGTCCTGTCATTTAGAACACTGGCAAGTTCTTCTTCTTCTGTTAATGTGAACTGTTCTTCAGGCGGCTCAAATTCTACAAATGGGTTTCTAATCCAGTCATACTGCTCAACAGATATTGATGGAAAATATTTGTCAAGATTTGTTAACAAAGTGTCCAAATGATTCAAAATCAGTAGCCTAATTTCTTGACAATTCCTTTTAAAAACACATGGAAACATTTCCAAATTTCCTGCAGCTATGCGTTTCTTTCATATTGTCAATTTCTTCTGAAAAGCATTTATTTTGTCAGTAGAAGACAAGATATTTTCGTTCCTGCCCTGCATGCTATTGTTCAAGAGGTTTAGTTCATGAAATATATCGGCAAGATATGCTAACTTCGAACACCAATGGCCATTACTTAAACATTCTACAAAGTCTTTCAGGTTTTCTTGCAAACAAAAGGTCAATAACTCTTCTCTTAATTCGTAAAAAC